TTTAAGTGGGAGAACTTGCACAATTGGTGGCTGACTGAATACTTTTTTGCCCCACTGTATATATATGTGTGTGTGTGTGTGTGTGTATATGTTTCTTTTGTATTCTTTTCACTTATTTCTTTTTTAAGCACTTATTTTATTTTATTTTATTTGACAGTGTATGTATTTTTTGTGTTTTGTTCCCTTTTTTTCTTTTTCTATTGTTTTCAAAGCAATAAAAAATAAAAAAAATTCAAGGAGAAACCTATTCAATTGTTCAAACAATTATTGTTAAGAAAGTAGAAAGGGACTAGACAACTTGTGACCCATTGGGTCATCATTTCAGAGATATTTCCTTACCAGATTCCTCAATGCCTTCCACAATGGCAGAGCTTCTAATGTACTGCCTTCACTGGAAAAGTTCTTAAAAATTCAGGGAGATATTCCGAGATGTATCTGCCTTGAAAATAGCCCATGTCATTCATATTGAACTGTATGGCACATTCAAACGTCAGGAGTTGACCACAGGAAATGTTTTATGACATTTTGTATTATGTCATAAAATGTTTTATAATAATTTTTATGTCATTAAATGTTTGCCAAATTTCAATTTCACAGGAGCCATGGGTCCCAAATTTTGGATGCATTTTGTAAGTTAGCCCATTTGAGGTACCTTGGTTCAAAAACTGTTGGCCTATGACACACCGTTTTGCCCAGTTAAAGGTTACAAATGGACATGAGAGTTTTAGTAGTATGTAGATAAAACACAATTATTATTTTATGTTATGCATGCACACGTATCTTTTGTTCAGTGTCAACTCCAATGAAAGAGACTCTGTAGTCTGTATACCTCATTGTACACTAGGGCCAGAGATGACAATGTGGGTGAGCCTACTTTTCATAATGGTGTCCTTACAAGAATGCATTCAGCTCTTTTCTCCAGCCCTAGAAGGATGACAAGCATTCATTTCCTGCCAGCCAGAGTTATGCAGGGACTGCTATGTAGAAAGATGGCTTAGAGAGCAGTAATGTTTACAAATAACAGTACATTTGCATTTCTTTGCAGTGATAGCTATCTTCTCCAGTCAGTCTTTTTATACAAGACGGTGGTTGCCACATTAAACTTGACTGATCAGAGAGTGAAATGCATCTTTGTTTTCCCCAGCATGGGACAGAAATGGCTGTAAAACTTGGGGGGGAGAAAACCCCACTGTCTAAAAAGGTTGAAATCTGCTTCCCTCTCAGCTTCACTGGTGGAAGAAAGGTTGTGGGGAGGAGCCTGGAACTTAGAGAGATTAGCACTGTGTGCAGGGACGGATGGACGTGCACATTAAGAAGAATAGGCTGTACCGAGTACAAGCAGGCAGCGTTCTAATGGGCAAGAGGAAATTCATACTGATCTGTCAAGTGTCCCAAGAAAGCAGCAACAGGCATGGCGCAGGAAGGGTGAACAAAGTGTTGCGTGCAGAGAGTCAGGATAATGCCATTACCTCAAAGGGCCCTTTGGTTTCTTGAAAGACATAGGTAACAGGGCATTCTGCATCTCTAATGAAACAGAATAAAATCGGCACACTACAGCCTCTCCCTGGTTATTTATGCTTCCAAAGTTACAGTTCCCTTTGTCCCTCAGGACTGAGTATGAGCTGTGGCCAAAAGCACCTAGAGAAACTGCATTTAGTCCACTGCCTCCATCGCAGGACTGACTTGAATCTAAAAAGCTCAAGGCTTTAAAAACAACTACTCTGTTTTTTGAAAAAAATCTCTTCCTTCTTCCCCAGTTCCTGTTTCTGTAACATCACTCAAAAACTCCAACACCTTGTTCTGTCAGCTTGATTAGTCCTAATCATAGTTGTGTCCATGTAGTCACCACAATTCAGTCTTATCTTAAGGGAGACATTATTTTTATCTTAATCAAGTAATCCCTCAAATATTTTCGAAGAGGGTTTTTTTTCCCCCAATTTAAAAATACTGATCGATATAACAACCATTTGGAGGAGTCCAGGGTAGTTATATTAACCTATAGAGATGAGTCTGGTCACTTAGAATAAAGGGGCTTCAATCCTCAGCTGAAATCCTCATCTCTCCTTACAGATGCCCATTTGAAGAACCAAACCCATAATGAATTTGCAGTCCTGATCCCTTCTGTCCAGGCTGGCCCATGGCTTTCCTCAGCAAGAAATATAAAACATACTATTTATCTCGGTAAAAATAGTATTTGTTTCAAGGATTGCAAAACTCCAGCCCAGTCAGTTCTCTCATAGTTACAAGTAAACAGCTTCATACCAGACCACTTCATTATCAAAACAAAGCACAGGTGAAAAGTATCCTTCTTGCTTCTAGTCCATTGTACCCCATGAAACTGCTGGAATTCTTTCATAATGCCTTTATCTACTTAGCCGATTTTTTGTGCAGTCATTGGAAAACTATTCTGGCAGTCTCTTGCCTAGCCAGTCAAGTCAGAAGAACTTCTACTCCTTTCCCATCATCTCAGCCATGACTGAAAAATGCCAATCGTTTTTTATTTTGTTATGCTAAATTAAAAGAAGAAAAAATACAGATACAAGTCACAGTTGAAGAATTTAAGTTCAAAAGTAACCACAATAATAATAAAAAAGAAGAAAAAGGCTTGAATATTTTCTTGGAAAAAAAAATAAGCTGGCTCCTAGGGTGTGGGCAGGTGCAGGAAGGGAAGAGTTAATTTTTCCTTTGTCATGGACTGCAACTGCTCTTCCAAGACTGTCTATGCCTCAAAGAAGCTTGAAAAACACCTTCCGTTGAGGACAGTGGGAGGCTTTTCCAAACCTAACTGTTCGGAACTTTTTCCAAACCTAACTGTTCGTGGTCAGCATCTTTAGCAGCAGTATCTACCACAAACTATGATGACCCCCAAATGATGTCATGCATGTGTAAGGTCATCATGTAAATGCTGTAATTATGTACTTGCATTCCAATATCTGACACAAGTATGTAAGCTGCAGTGACTGGTGGCCAAGAGATAGATAGATAGACAGACAGACATTTGTATGATGCCATCATCAAACGCTTTTCATCATTTGCCCACCCTTCCTTCATTCTAGGCTAGAACCTTTCAAGGCAATTTTCAAGTATCCAGAAAATAAGCATGACAGAAATGTTCAATGCCCAAATAACAAGCTCTAAGAACTAGCAAATAAAACTTAACTATCCAGTGTAAAAGTCCAGTAAGAGTTACATTCAATAGCCCACTCAACTAGTTTAAGAGAAAGCCACTGAGAATAAGTGAGTTTTATGGGATTTCTCAGGCCTGAAAGGAAGGGTTCTCACCCAACAGTGGGTTTCCCCCTTGCACTTGTTTCAGACTCAGGAACCTCAGCACAGGGCTTTTGGACAAACCTTCTGAGTGTAGGCAGTCTAAATGCAGGTGAAGGATCTTTTGAGTAACTTGGCCTCAAACCATTTAAACTTTAGAGCTTCACCAGCACTTTGAACTGGAATAAGAGTTCAACCAGAGCAGCTAGTGTAATGCCAGAGTCATCTGATCCCATTGTTACTTTGGGTAACCAATGTGATGAAACAATAGAGTACTTACACCCTACTAAGACAAGTGAAGAGTTAAGTGGGCACTTTCTATAAAAGGGCAGAAAGCTAACTGAAACTGGAGAGAGACACAACTGGGAACAGACATTTGATAGCTGTGAATGGATAGTGCTGGTAAACCATGTGAAAAAGGAAACTAATTCTGACCATAAGTGTGAAGTTCTGAACCTTTCAACAGAAAGAGTTTATATTAATATTATCTTCTTAGACAATGTTCTTGTTAAATAAATAAAACATTGAATGATCCACTGAGTAAACAAGAGATTGACTATAATACTCTTCCATGCCTACCACAAGAACTAGAGAGGAGAGAAGGTTGGTATAAGAAGTCTAAGTTTATAATTTTGGAGTGGTGGCAACAAGATTTTGAACTATTTATCCCCCACAAAACTTTGCAGAATACAGGCAACTTCTGACTAAATAAACCTAGACACTTTCTCATCAGCAGAAAATTCCAAAACGTCTTCAAAAGCAAACCCAGCAGTCCAACCTAAATGTTAATCAGCGCATAGATCTTCTGTAGACAGGGCCACAGCTGGTATAGTAGATAACCTCAAAAAGATTACTGCTATCACCAAGGTTGTCTCAACGCAAACAATCAAGGAGAACTCCCACACAATTTGAATTTTAGAAGTAATCTATAATAACAATTGCAAACTTCCATGTAACGTGGTCTTCTTCCCTACAGATAGTATCTCCATGGTGTGAATTAAGTCTCAGCTTGTTCTGCTGTTTATTTGAGTGTGTGTATGTGTGACAGGCATTTGCAGGTATTGCTTTGGCCAATCCAATTTTGGTTTTGGCCTGCCCACTGCTGGAATGCAGCCGTGGAATGAATGCACGTCTTATGAGTGAATGTATCCCTCAAGGTGAAAAAAAGATCTCCACCCTTGTTTTACTTGCTGTGCCTTGTTTCTTTGACTCTGCCACACCCCCAGGACTCTGGCCTCTGGTGTTCCTGCTTCATGGACACCTGCAGCTCAGTTTTGACAACAGCACATTGGAGAACTGTGGGAACTACTTCAACCTGAGGGACAATTAGCATAATCAGTTGCTCCAATGCACAATCAGCTTGCAGAGCTTGTTTACTACATGATCACTACTTATTCAGTGATTCCAGTTGGGATTGGCCTCAGAGTACTTGATGCTTGAGACATGGAAGCAAAGGGTGTTCCCCAGCCTTTCTGCAATATTCCCAACAGCTAAATGATTTTTTACTTGAAGCAGAAAATCCCTCAAGTTCTCTCTGTCTTTACCTGAAACTCAAAATGCAATGGTTCATTCATGATTTAGTATCTTTCTTCCTGGATCCCCATAGCAATGTTGCTTCAAAAATGCTTTATAGCATTTCCTCTGGAGTTATGGGGCAAGTGTTTTCCCATTGGCAAGAACTCTTACTTCTGGCAATTTCCTCGTCCCTCCCCTTTCCTGAAGTGAAGACAGCACATTAGCATCCTCCCATGCCATTTCAAAGGGCAGCTTTGTCACTCACACAGCCAATAATAAAGGGATGTCCAGAGGAAATCTGCAGTGGTTGTAAATCTAGGGCATGTAAGACAGAAATACAACTTGTTCTAGCACTGAATATGAACAGTAGGAAGGAAAGTTTAACTAGTTAGAATATAATGAAGCTGTAAGATACTGCAACAAGTAAAAAGTCCATTTTATTTACTTTTTAATTTTTAAGGAAGAATTAACAGCAATAACCCTAACCTTAATCATCCATAATATTAAAAAATGATTCCAAGTATGTATTTTAATGATGGCATTAAAAAGATGCCTTATTTTCTACTAGGATTTTGGGGCAAATGGGGTCAAATAAATCCCCTCTGACATTTAAAGGATTCATAGACCGCTCAGGGAACCTCTACCTTCCAGCTGCAACCCCTTGTTGCCTGCATGTCAGAAGTGGCTTTAAAGACATACCAATTCTAATTTGGCTCAGGATCCCCTCTTTTGAAAAAGAGCTTCACGTGCCCTGAGTACAGAGATTTTGGATACAACCCCATTCTGACCCTTAGCACTTTATCATAGGACTGGGCACAGAGAATTAGAGGTTTGCTTGAATGCTGATTAGCTTTTTCACTAGTTTGCTGCTTGTGACAAAGTCAGACGAATAACATTAGATTAAGCAATGCTGACTTTATAAAGCTCCATTGTTTAGAAAAAATGGAAGCTCAAAATTTGGAAAACAAGTTTCGCCATGTAAAACATAAGGCACGCAAGTAGCAGGTTAGTTTGGAGGAGGAGATATATCTAATTGTTTCATACCTGTACTGTACAAGAATGTAGCGGGGAAAGGCCATCAAATCCTGTTTGCCAAGTAATACTGGCACTGTTGCTGGTGATCTTCGTTACTGTCACATTGAGAGGTGGAAAAGGGATTGCTGAAACAGAAGGAAGATTTTTAGCATATGCAAAACTGAGCAGTTATTTACACAGAAATGTGCAAGTGCTACAGTCTGGGAATTTGGACAAGATCCTTGAGAGGTGCTAATTGAGCTATGAATGAATAGAGGTGGCCTGCTCATGACATTATCAATCCTGATTAACACTGCATATCTTTTTTCCTAGTTGATGGTTAAACAGACAGAGAAAATGCCGAACATTTGTTGCTTTCAGAAACATTCTGTTATGGAATCTGAGATTCAAGTGATGGTAGTCTGACATTTCTTAAACCTTTTGAATCACATGTTCATTTTTTGAGGCATAGTACTACCCCTATGTCATATTTACATGTGTTTCCTATAGTATTACCAATATATTGGAATGCATTTAAACACTGGAAAAATACAGGATTACAAGAAAATCTACAGAAATCCAGAAAAGTTTGGTCCATTTTTATATCAATGTTCCATGGAAATGCAAAGTGTGACATTTTTAATCTTTGTTAATGAACAAGCAATCCTATGCCATTCAAAAGGTATCCATTCACATTCATACTGTTGAGATAATCAAGATGGTACCCTTATAAAACTTCTATCTCACTCTGAAGTTTATGTGAGGCTTCCAAAAATTCTGGGCATCTAATGGGATTGATCACAGCGATACATCACCTAGTATCAGAACAACATCAGTTTCCCTTAGTCTGAGCAAACATAGAAGGGGATGCAATTGTTACTGAACACAGGAGTTACTGATAGTACAGGCAAGCAAATCCTATTTAGCGTTGTAGCTGGAAAACCCTTAGTCCCTTGGGTATGAGTCACAGATGTTTGGGAAGTTCATTTATTGTAGTTTCAATATTTTCAAGGCGCTCTTATGTTGTATAAAAAATCTGGCACCGACTGAAGCTTCCATGTGTATGTATCAGTGCTACTGTATGGAAGAAGCTTTGATTTGTCATCTTTTCCATATTTATCTGCCCAAACTTCTATGTTCTCCAGACTAGGTTGTGTAATTCCCCACCCCCACCCCCCTATATTAAGTGAGAAGATCTTTTGACATATCACCCGATAATAAACTTGAATTACTAGAGATTTGTTTGGTGCTTACTTTATAGTCTTTTTCAAGAGAAGTGGGTTTTTTTATTGTTATTGACACCTGGCTTTAAAATAATTTATGTTTTACAATTTGATTTCTCAGTTTGTAATCTGTTTCTCTTCTGCTTTAGCTTTTGTAGTTCTCATCGTTTTATGTGATATTTGAACAGTTTTGGCAACTGCCCAGAGAACTTACATTAGCTGGTGATTAGAAAACAAATCACATTAATGGATAAGATGTCTACACCCAACCTATTGCACTACTTCAGAATTTCCACAGCCTTCCTGAACCCAGGAGGCAAAGTGATGCAAACTTATATAAGCATAGGGCATTCAGGCACTCCCCAATGTCATGTGCTTTTAGTAACCCTATTACTTAATATCTGAATACTTCAGAGGAGAAACCACTGTTTAGGAACTGCTTCTCTTACATATCTGCAGACAATGCGTTGAAGGGACTAGCTTAGATATGTGATGTCAGGAGCAAGATTTATAGAGTAGACCCCATCATTCTTTGCCCTTATTTTGTGCATTTCTGTTGTATATAAATATGACATGCTCTTCAAAAATCAATGTCCTCTACACCCTACTGACACTACACACTCAATTTTTGGATACTACTTCCAGAGCTTACATGTAGATCTTATGAATACAAAAGCCAACACCACAGAACCAAACAGAAGTTGGCAACTTCAGGAATGATCCATCCCTTCAGAATCCTTTCTGTTTAGATAATCCTGGGCAATAGACTAAAAGCTGCTATATCTCCACACTAATTATATTGGAAATGATGCTAGAAAAGAACATGCCTTCACAATTCAGTGTTGCTTGATAAAGCTCCAGCTATGCTGTTTCCAATGAGTATTATGAGATTAAGATTTCTCTTTTCATTTTACCTGACCACTGTTGTCATCATGACATTCATAGGCAGTACTTTATAAAAAGTATATAGGAAGACAGGGCAAATTCCAAATGAAATAAAGTCACAATTGGGATGCATCTCGTAATAAAACACACATTTGAAAGGAATACAAGAAAGCACAAGGAATTATCAATGAACAGGACAAGAAAGTGAGAATGTTTGGGAACACTGATCATAACAAAAATAAATTTGTGTAAACATTGGAAATAAAGAGGGTAGAGACATTTTGGCGGGACCCCTGGTTTGAGAAAGCCATTTCCAATTTCTTCCTTGACTTGTTGTCTTTTTTAATCTCAATTCAGGCTGGCTGCCTCTCACTTCTCTTGTTCTGGCCCACTCTCCTCTAGTTTACTCTCAAGCCTCTCATTCTCCATATGTTCTCTCAGATCCACCCCTTCACTGCTCCCGTCATCTCCTGTTCCCACTCATGGCTCAACGGCACCATTCATGCTGCCACTGATTCTTGAAACCAACTCCCACTCTTTGCTTAGCAAATGCTTCTTCCTACCTTTAGATCTTGCCTAATAATCTGCTTGCCCTTACTTTCTAGAACAGAAATTCATCTTACTTTGTTTACTTGCAGTGCTTTCATATACTGTATCTTGCTTCAAAGAGCTGTAAATATATCTGAAAATTCATTCCAAGCTGGAAGCCTAAAGCTAGCTTCTCCTTATCTCTCCAAAGCTCCAATTTTTTGTCACCATCAATAAGAGGGGAATCAGTCCCAATCCTGTTTAGTTGCAGAGCAGTCTATTGCCTCAAAACAAAGGCAGTGCAGTTTTCTATTAAGAACAGAAGAGTTAAAGAATTAAACAACATCCCCCCGGATCAGACCACAGTTTCAAGAAGTCTGGAATTCTTTCCAACAGTTGTAGTGAGTAAAATCAATTAGAAAGTGGTATCTATATAAAAAAATCAATATTTCTTTTCCTCACTGTGATTTGTTCGAATAGTCTAATGGCCTTGTTTGAACATAACACTGACTGTATAGCACATGCGGCTCCAAGAACACCCAAAACTGCAATACTGAAATTTGGCAGTAAAATTAGTGATTTTCAGCAGCTGCTTTGGAGATTTGGAACCACACTTCCTCTGTGAGGAAAAATGCTCTCAATCGCACTCTTAGACCCACTCATCTCCAGAACTGAGCAGAAAATTGGCCATTTCTTTCAGGCCCATCTCCTCAGTTTATATCATTTCTTCACCATAAGGCCTTCTGCACCCTGCCAAGTTGAGAAGCTAAGTTCCAGCTCCTGACCCAGATGACAATGCCCACTCCAAGATAACAATAATGCCAGGGCCAGCTCTGGTCCACAGTGCCAAAGCTCAGGGGGTGCCAACACCATCCTTCCTTCCAAATAATTCTGTAAATGTAAATCTTTGCACAGGTGGTCCCATCAGTCAAATGCTAGTATCTCCTTCCACCAACAGACATCCTCATTTAGCAACCACAATTGAGACAAGCAACTTGGTTGTTAAGCAAAGCTGTGACTGTGCTCGTGATCTTACTTCAGCTTTCCTTTGCTTTACAGACCTGAGAAGGTCATAAATTTGGGCATTGGTTTCAAAGTTACTTTTTTATCACAGTCATAACTGGGAATGGTAGTTGTCCAAGACAGTCACTAAGTGGGGACTACCTGTACTCTATATTTTATATTTGACAAAATTTATTCTGGTTAGAAATCTAGAAAAACAATGTAATATCTATGGTACCCCAGGCTTCCTGCCCCACTTGACTTCTATCTGTCTGTCTGTCTGTCTATCTATCACATACATACATACATACATACATAAAAAAAATCCCCTCTCACTCCTATGGGTGGTATGTGTCTTCCTCAATCTTGGGTTCTCTACCAGAGGCCTGGGAGTTTGATGTACATACATACATACATAAAAAAAATCCCCTCTCACTCCTATGGGTGGTATGTGTCTTCCTCAATCTTGGGTTCTCTACCAGAGGCCTGGGAGTTTGATTGTTCTGCAAAGTATCTTAGCTGTTCCTAGCACTGCACTCTTCTGGACAGAGAGCTCTGATGTTGTTGTTCCTGGGATCTGCTGGAGCCACTCTCCCAGCCACTCTCCTGTCACAGCCCCGAGTGCTCCTACCACCACTGGGATCACTCTGGCCTTTACTTTCCACATCCTCTCTAGTTCAGGCCCTGGCACTTCTCTAGCTTCTCATACTCCTTCCTGATGTTGCTGTCACTTGGCACTGCTACATCTATCATCAATGCTGTCTTCTGATCCTTGTCTACTACCACGATGTCTGACTGACTGGCCAGTTTAGTTGTCTGGTTGAGATATATATGAAGGTGGCATATTGTAAAGCAAAATGTCAACTTTCAGCATCAACCATATAAAAATAGTGGATGACTGCAACCCAGATCTTTGCATCGAAGGAATGGTAAGAAGTGACCTCATCAATTTGTCTTTTATAAATGAGTGCTTTGTGACTGGCTTCTCCTACCACAGCAGTCATTTGGTGATTAAGCAAGGTCACAATGGCCATTTTGTGGAGCATCCAGCACATGCTTTCTAGATTCTAAAAGTGCTCACCAGTTTAAAATGGTTGCATATCCCTGCCCAAAAAGTACTGGAGCAGTCACATTCCTTGACTAAGAGGGAAGCAGCTTTCAGAATCCTGAACTCTCATTGGACACAGCCTACAAATTAGCAGCTGAGGATACTACATTCCCCACCAAGGGCCAGGGTCTGTACAAGATAGTTATGGTTACATACATGACTCTTAGGAAAAGAATCCATTCTTTCCATTAATTCAACTCTTTCATAACAATATGTTCTTATATATTCTATTTCATATAACAAGGAATGCAGCTAATCAAATCCCAGCTACTTAATTCTCTTGCCCCACAAAAGTATTAATTATTCCTAGCCTATAGTTTTAGTTTCTTGTTAAATAAGAGAACAAATTGTAGAAGGGGCAAAAAAACTACTTGCTTTAGATGCAAAAGATGAACATTGCTATGCTTTAAATGAAAGTCTAGTGCTACAGAGTATAGAAATTCATAAAACCAAAGCCTTCCTGAAATGTAATTGTTCCAAGCAGTGACCTGTACCCTCCTGCTTTCAATAGCTCATGAAATGCCAGTACATTTGAGCAAAGGATGATGGGAGACGCTGTGGCTGCCAAGACATGAAATCTATATCTGCTAAAAAGGGCGCTGTTCTCATTTACGCATTGTAGACAATGTCATGACCTCAGGCGTCCATGGGAGAGGCTAACGATGAAGCACGCATTGCACTGTCGTGACACAAACCACACGATTGACATTCTGTATATAACGTCATGACACAAGTACAAAAGGCTGGGGTTTGTGCTGTGACATCATGACTCATGTTCCATCATTTCATATTATTGGGATTTGTACCAGATGTCTATGGTTACAGCCCCCTTTTCCTTCTAGAAAGACCTTTGATGCCCTGACCCTAGCCTTCATGCGGCATAATTATTCCCTTGTATCTCATTCCCTTCTTGAGCTGGCTGTGGTTTATTTTTATTAGCAAATTTTCCTGCAAAGTGATGGGCCTGCATACAAAAAAGTCAGTATTTTTTCTGAATTTTATTTAATCTGTTGAGAGCATGGAGCTGGCACTGTTACAAGCAGCTAAGAAGTCATGTGTGGGATTGTGTGTCGCAGTTTTAAAAGGTGGAGGAAAAAAAAACGATTGTAGCTTAGTGTAGCTTTTTCCCTATTCCTGAGCAAAAAATGTGCCTCTTTCCACGTTTCCATCTCTGGAAGGGTAGGAAATGGTTTCTCACCTTTAATCCGTACAGTGGCTGTCCGAGATGAAGACAATCCCTTTATGTTGTGGGCTTCACAGGAGAAAACTGTGCTTTGATTAATACCTAGAAATCAGCCAAGAAAAGGGAAGTTTTTTTTTTTTTTTTTAAAAAGGGAGAAAGCAACATATATATTAATCACCCCTAAGCAGAATTTCACTTAGGTTTCACACACTGCTCAGATTTTACATATGCAACTCAATAGATTGAACTGAAAGCAGATCAAAAATTATGCGGATTGGAGTGAAGGGTGCTTTGTGTATGTGTGGGTATATTTATTTTTTATTTATTTAAATTTGTTATAGCCACCCAACCCCAGCAGACTCTGGGTGGCATACAAAACAAAAAAACCATAAAAACAATTAAAAACTTAAAACCACACAGACAGCCCAGACTAAAATAATCTTAAAAGCAACACAAATCACAACAGGGCCCCCCAAAATACCCTAATATATCAATCCCAGGCCTGGAACCAAAGCCAGGTTTTAAGAGATTTCTGGAACCCCAGGAGAGAGGGCACTGTCCTTATACCTGGGGGGAGGCTGTTCCAGAGGGTGGTATGGAGAAAGCATGCTTCCTCGGTGACGTGAATAAGCTATTTCAAAGGCAAGCTAATAGCAGTCTCCAGGAAAGGGATCACTAACATAGCTTAACAAATTACTGTTTCCTTTGTAAACTTTACAAATTTAGTTGCACAAAGCATGCCCATGAATGATGACCCACATATCTGGGAATATATGGTAGCTTTACTATTAGACTACAGAAGTAAAACCTGCAGAATGAAAAGCTTTCAATTAGAAACAACATAATACCTCTTCAGCCAGTTTCTGTACACTCTGTGAAGAAAGAAAAACTTAACTTTCATCTTCTTCCAGAGTTACAGTTTCATCTACATTTTGGCCTGAATTTTATTCTTTATGTAGACAGCAGAATATTATATACACACGTGAATTTTTCCACTCAGAACAGGTCAAAATATGAGCATGGTTGAAAAACAAAATAAACTACATGGAAATCAAATCAAATCAAAATGGAATTCCTACTTGGTTTTGAGTTTGTAAAAATTCAAGTAATCAGGTTTAAGGGGCAATTTGCATCTTATTTAAAGGAAGTTTCATCTGACCCCATAAACAAGCTTACTGGTAGTGGGTCCTGGAAAGCAATCCTTCCATATCATAGATTGCTGGGACTGCTAGATAGTTTACAGGTATCCCAAGCATGTGAGTATGTGTGTGCGTGTGTATTTATTTTATTTATTTTAAATCAATTCATATGACTGCCCATCTTGCAGATTGCACTTGCAAGATGCAGAATAAAAACATTAAAAACAATGGAAAAACAATATCAGCAAAACATTTTTAAAAAACTGTGAGGGCTGAGAACAAACCCCATAAGCATTTAACAATACAGGAACAACTCATCTCACAGGCCATCTAACCTCCAAGCCCTAGAGCATATCTGGGTCTTCAGTGCTTTGAGAAAGGGTCAGGACCAACTTAATCTCAGAGGGTATGGCGTTCCAGAGAGCAGGTGCTGCAATAAAAAAGGCCTGCTTCCTAGATCCCATTAGATGGCATTCTTTAACTGAGAGGCTGGATGGGATAGGTAGAAACAACCAGGGAGAGGCGGTCCTGTAAATAACCTGGCCCCATGCCATGAAGGGCTTTATAGGTGACGACCAGCACTTTGACTTCCACCCAATAGTTCACTGGGATACAGTGCAGCTTGTGGAGGAAAGATATACCATGACCGTGCTGGGGTGTGCCTAGAACTGCCCACATTCTGGATCAGTTGCAGCTTCTGGATGGTCTTCAAGTGCAGCCCCCTGTACAGTGCATTGCAATAATCCACCCAGGAGGTGACTAAGGCATGAGTGACCATGATCAGTGCCTCTTAGTCCAGGAAGGAGGCAACTGGCACTCAAAACAAAGTTGTGCTAAAGTCCTCCTGGCCATGGCTGCCACCTGCTCTTTAAACAGGAGCTGTCAGTCCAGGAGAATCCCCAGATTGCACACTGGTTGTGTTTGGGGTAGTGCAACCCCATCTAGAACCAAAGATAGAAAAACATTGGATCCAAGATGCTTTAAAACCCACAGCCACTCAATCTTGCCAGGAATGACCTGAAGCCTGTTGTTTCCCCCACCCCCCCCCCCCCCCCAGCTTCCAGACACTGAGACAGAACCTCCATAGCCTCACTTGGCTGACCCAGGGTGAAATGTAGAGCTGGGTATCATCAGTATATTGATGATACTGCATCTTGTGCCATCAGATGACCTCACCCAAAAGTTTCATGTAGATATTAAATAGGAGTAGTGGGCGCATTGAGCCCTGAGGATCCCACAGAGAAGGGGCTAGATCTCTCCCTGCAATCCAGTGACTGGAACTGGCCCCAGAGTAAGGAGGAGAACCAGCACAGAACTGTACCTCCCATTTCTAATCCCTGGGGTTGGTCCAGAGTGATATCATGATCAATAGTATTGAAAGCCACCAAGAGATGAAAGAGAGTCAGGATGGACACACCACCCCATCCCACTCCTGCCAGAGGTTATCCACAAGTATGATCAATGCTGTTTTAGTCCTGTACCAAGTCAGATCCCCAGCTGAAAAGGATTCAGATAATTCATTTCCTCCAGGATTCTCTGAAGCTGCGGTGTGACCACCTTCTCAACAACAATCTTCCCTAAATAAGAACCTGACTGGTTAAATTGGCAAGAATGGGACTGGCCCCATAGTTATAGGTGGTGATCAGGACTTGTGTTCTTTCTTGCTGAAGAAAACTTCCCATGACCTACAGGAACTCTGTAATTATAAGCCAGTCTGAAATATTCCACTCTTGGGTAAGTTGATTGAGAAAGTGGTACATATACATTTGTCTGAAATTGATTATCTGGATCACTTCAATAATGATTTTGTCCAGGATATAGTGCTGAGCTATGCTGCTATGCTGCCTTATTGTGGTGGGGGTGGTGGGTTGGGGTTCCTGAGATGGATGAGCAAAAAAGGCTGGGTGTATACACAAAGACTATAAACTCCTAGCTGGGTCACCCAAGGTGTGAAGGTCATTCCAGATGCCCAGCTAGCAAGCAGCACCTGTATCAAGCAGCAGCAATACAGGAAAATGCTGGAGGCATCTTTATAGAAACAGAAAGGCAGGACATAAATTTAATAGTAAATAATAACATAAAAAGAATAGGACATTGACTTCATTCACACACATTGGTTTGTCCAACCATTGCTTATTAAATAAACAATGGGTTTATATTCCCACCATTAACCATGGTTTACAAACTCCAATAGTTAGATTTGGAAAACCAACAAAGCTATGTGATAGCTTAGTATAATTTGTGAACAGATTACCAGCTCCCACCGCAAAGATCACAAAGAACATGGGATGCCTACTGAACCCAGAATCTGGGAAGTTCTAGAAACAATGACCCAATGCCAACAGCCCTGCCTTCAATAAAAGGTCCTCCCTTCTTCACAATAAATCCCTAGAAAGAAGTCATCCAGACGGGAGGTTTCTGATAAGTAACAATTGGCTCTACCGTTCCTATCATTGTTTATGATAGAACAATGGGATAGAAGGCCAGTCGGCCAGAAAGGGAATGTTTCTTGGAATGTTTATTTTGTCCCTTAACACAAGCAGTGATAAGAAGCAAGGTCTCTGGCTGGAGCTTAATGAGTGATTTCCCCCCAGGCACTGGCTCTGTTAGGACTGTTGACATCCTGCTGATGGGAAGCACAGAACTATTGTGACTGGGAAAAAGGTATTTTTAAGCTACGTGCAGAAGACTTAGAGGGGCAATGAGATTCTGAATGAATCTATGAGTTTATTTTTCAGTGTCCGATTTGCCCCGCTGCGCATACTTGCTTTTGCATTTGCTTTTGATGACTTCCTTTTTTCTTTCTTTCTTTTTCTCTTTCTCTTTCTCTCTTTCTCTCTGTCTTTCTTCTTTCTTTTTCTCTCTTTCTCTCTGTCTTTCTT